ACATAAGAGCTATCTGTGCTCTGCCCACCACGGGTATCGAAACCCGGATTCTAGCGTTGTAAGTCTGCAGACATACCGCTGTGCCACTGGGGGGCATGTAATCGAAATTAGCTTCTATATTAAATGTGATGACAAAAGATATCTAGCATTCGTAGTTCTACATTTTTGCACAAATTGTTCAGTTACCTAAACATTATTTTTATATTTCAGTGCATGGATCATCGTTGTCTGTTGTTTCCTCTTCCTCAAACATGTTTACAGCAGTGAGTTTACTTGTATGAATTTTTATTATAGCTATTATAGCTACAAAACAAATTAGCACAGGGCTGATTTTGGTCTAATATTTGTTAGAATCTCTCTAGTTTTCAATACTTAGATTTAATATGAATTAAAACTTTTAATGTTGAGAAAAGATTCCAAAAGGATTTTTTTCAAATTTAAGACAACTATATGATATCGATACATAAAAGATGATGAAAATACCATATATATATGTTCTTCACAGAAATAATATAATGTTGAATAAAACAAATTTGCCAAAGTAGATAATTGTTTTTTAAACATCAACATTTATGTACAAAAACAGTAATATTTCATCTGCTATGCAGTATCTATTTGAAATATCAACTTAATAATTAATTTTTTTGTTAAGCATGATGTTTCCCTTGTTAATTCCTATAATACAGCCAAATAAGAAATATACTGACTGTCTAAGTGTTTTATTTTAATAATATTTAAATACTGCTTTTTAACCATACTATCTATAAGTTAACAACATGAAATTTTATTATTTTATGAATAATAATTGCTTGATTTTCTTTTATGCCACTTCATATTGTAATTAAAACTTTGACATTTTTACACAAAAATGAATGATTTATCAATTTATCAAAATTTAAGTCATATCTTATCGTTTCAATTTTATAAGGAAATATATTCTAAACATATTTTTTATATTATGCAAATTTTACTTTTTAGACTGAGGACAAACAGTCTCAAGAAATTAAGAAGCTAAAAAGAGAGTTAGAACAAGCTAATGAGAAAGTAACTACTCTTACATCACAGCTCACAACTAATGTAAGTAGTACGTTATTTCCTACATAGGCACAGTTTTTCAGAGCTGATATAACACAAATATTAGCTTCAACACTGTCTCCTGAAGTTGCATTAAGGTAATAAAATCGTTAAAGAAATACTCATCCAACTCTTAAATTCTTTTCTTATCTTCTACAGGCAAAAGTGTTTTTTTTTTAGAAGTTTGTATATAACTGTAGGAGAGCATATTTCCTGTAATTTTCAGTCAAGCTGACTTAAAACTTTAATGAGAAGTATAATTGCAACCCAAGAAAAAAATTTTACTATTCATGAAAATGTATTAAATTCAGACTAATAAATTTACAATATCAAATACTGTGTTCAAAAAGCAATAACGTATCAAATGAAATACTGTTTTCACTTTGGTATACCCATCTTATTGTCTTATTTGTTTGTTTAGAACAAATTATTGTATGTTTGTAGAAGTAATACATAGACAAACAGTTATAATTTTGATTTATACCTTACAGACTTTGATACATGTGTATATCTTGCTGAAATTAAATTAAATGAAGGCTGCTAAGATATAGATTTTTAATAATTATTCTCTAACTACAAGTACAATACACTGGCGTTTCTAGAAACTTGTAGAAGTGAATAATAGAAGAATGTTTTGTTTTGTATAAGATATCTTACAGATTAGTAAAGTAATAATATTATTAGATATCAATAGTTACCTAACAATACGAACTGTTTATGTAAAAACATAGTTACCTCATTTTAGAAACATTTTCCTCACAAAATCCAATAAAAAGAGAGAATAAAAGAATATTTTTAGAGTAACATAAAAAATTTGGCAATCTTCGCCTTGTCCAGAGGATTGGCTTTTATAATACCCATTGAATTATAATGGAAATCTTCTTAAATAAATCTTGCTTACGTTTCAGTATCTTTTTACATAGACTTAATATTTTGGCAGATTATTCTCTTATTGTTATTAAGTAAATTGTAGAATTAAAATAAACCACATCCTAAAATTTCTGTAGAAAAGTGCTTACCTAAGTAAATCAGAGAGGGGGGGTGTCTGGTACTTCCCATTTAAGATTTTTATATAATACATTTTACTTTACAGGCAAGAAGTAATTCCTATATTTCTCAAAGGGAAATTGTACAAAAGTCACCTATGTGTACTAGAACACATTTAATTCCTATAGAAGAATTCCCAATACTTTAAAGGGCTAAGAGAAATTCTCTGGTTTCCTTTTAGGACTTGAATAAAACTCTATAGAACCCACTTACTTTACAAGGACTAAAGTAATTCCTGTGTTTCACCTTGAATGATTTCAATAGAATCCAATTACTTTATAAGAACTAAAGTAATTCCTGTGTTTCTCCTCATATGAGTTCTATAGAACCCACTTACTTTATAAGAACTTAAGTAATTTCTGTGTTTCTCCTCATATGATTTCTCTAGAACCCACTTTCTTTATAAGAACTAAAGTAATTCCTGTGTTTCACCTTGTATGATTTCTATAGAACCCACTTATTCTATAAGACCAAAAATAACTGCTACATTTCACCTTAGGATTTTAATAAGACTCCATACTTTACAAGACCAGAAGTAATTCTTATATTTTTCCCTTTAGAATCTCTATAGAACACTCCTTTTTTTTACAAAACTAGAAGTAATCCCTAAATTATCCTTTTATGATCATTATTAGAACTACCTCTTACTATACCAAACCAGAAGTATTTGCTACAATTTTACTAATATTCCTTTAAGAGAATGTTCTATTCTTAAATGAAAGGTAATGGTTGTAGCTTCCTCAGGATTGTAATCAATATTATCCTCAGAGAAAATCTCTATAAATCACTGTTAACATTACTGAGAATGTTATTGATATTGTTATTCTGTAATATGTCTATATAAATTGTTGTTATAAGTGTATTACAGGTAAATGCTTGAATGAGTGTTGTTCTGCAATACGAGAGAAGGAAAATTTGTATAAAACATTTTCTAGTTTTCATTTAGAAATATCAATGTATTCTTTGTTATCTTTTATCCAAGATGTAAATGTTCCAGTTCTCTTGGATAATTTTATGTAAATCATTGTTTACTCTACTGAGAATGTAATGCTATTACTCTCTTTCTATTGAGTACTGTTGGTCTTACTATATACCAATAGCAACTACTGCATTTTTATAGTTTGCTATATTCTTTTGAAAGAATCGTGTTAAATTTACTGATTTGAAAGTAATTTCTATACTTTTTTAACATAATGTTTTTTACATGTGCTATCCTGAGCAGCAGTAAATATTGTAGTTATTTTATAGAATTTCCACAGAACAATGTTTGCCTTGCCAGTCCTTAATCCATAAGTAATTGCTGTAGGAAATTACAATAGAATTTTGAATGTTATGTGTGATCAGTATGTGGCAAGAGATTACTGCCATAATTCAGGAACATAGAATTTTGTTAGAGCACTCTAGTGAATAACATCTGGCAGGAATGTAAATCTTACATTAATCCATTTGAAAAGAATTAAAATTAGTTTCCTCTAGATGTGCTTTATTTAATGTTTCCAAAACTGCAGCTTCCACGATGAAGTATAACAAGAATCCAGGAGACCCCCTCCCCCCAAATATATATAGTAACCAGTGTGTATATATACACACACACTGGCTAAAAAAACACTTTCAGAAAAAAAGAAGGGGTAGTGACTTACTAAAAATTATAACACTAACGTCTCAGATATTCTTTGGTTTAAAACCTCTAATTTATTTATGTATTCTATAAAATTTAAAGACATTTCCGTATATAAGTAAACACTATCATATTTAAACTGTTATGCAATTTATCCATTCCTGTTCTTTTTTTTTAATTATATTTGGAGCACACTCATGAACTCTGAGCAATCACAAAGATAAAATGTTTGTTCTGTCCTAACGCAGATCAACGGGACAGATATCGTTACAACGCGCATTTTTTAATTAAAGCTTTTGTACATAGACAAATATAGGCCATTATTATAATGCTTGTTTACGTAGAAGTTTTGATTATCTTGCTTTATAAAAGTGCTTCCTATAACTGACGCCCCTTAGCTCCTCGCGGCTCAGTAATAATCTTGGTAGGTTATAACGCTGAAATCTTGGGTAACTTATAATTGACTTTCATGCCAGTTCTTGTTATCGAAATCTGCTAGTATTGAACAGCTTTTATTTTCAGCTGTAGATACTTACCTTAACATCGTTTAATCATTGCAGTCCTTTAAAAGTCATATTGTGTTAATGTTATGTCATCAAAATTAGATGTTATTTTATTTTAGCTTGATAATATTATAAAAACTTAAATCAGTTACAAATGTGCCAGACTTGCCGATCCAATGCTCACCTCCCGTTAACACCAGAAAAAAAAATCATGCTCTACAGTTGGGAAGCGTGTGTGTGTTGTAAGGGTGATGGTTAAATTACAAAAGTAGCAAAAGAGTTGACGGTAGATTCTGTCGACTAGCTGCTTTTCCCGTAATCGATCAATTCAAAATTAGAACAGCTAGTGAAGATTGCCTTTTAACAGCTATGCCCGATTTTCGAAAACAAACAATTCAAGCTTTTCCTTTTAAGGATTAAACAAAAGTTCGAAGTTCATCTCAGGAACACAGATGATGTTCTCCATTTTTTCAGATAACTCTAAGTTTTGTCGTTAAAGTTCCGGAATACGGATATATAATTTGAAACCCAGATAAAATGTCAATCTCTGGTCAAAGGTCAACCTACAGCAAAGAGTAATTTCTCTGATACCATGGAGAATCTTTACTTATGTTTTTTTTTCTTAATTCATATTAAGTTATGTAAAGCGTTACTCGTAAAAAAATATTTTTTATGGAAAAATTCTGTGTAAAAAAAATTATTATACATGTTCAGTTCTATACGATTTGCTTCAGGTGGCTCATGGCAAATCAGAGAGCTTATAATGTTAAACATTGAGTTTTAGTACCTGTAGTTGACACAGCACAGAAAGCCAATTGTATAACTTTGTGCTTAATACCAATCAGGTGATATTATTCTTTTCACAGGAATACTTTTGATTGAATTGAACCATAAGAAAGAATTTAAAAGTTATTTCACTCAATTATCTGAAGATTCATGTTTCTTTGCATGGATTGCATCTTACATTTCCACATACTGATATTACCACAAAGGTTAACATATCTAAGGTTTCAACTTTTATTTGTAAAAAATCTTCCAGTCCTTTGTGTTTGTATGATATTACCACAAAGGTTAACATATCTAAGGTTTCAACTTTTATTTGTAAATACAAACACGAAGGACTGGAAGATTTTTCATCCTTTGTGCGAAATAAGAATTTTGTATTCTCAGCTTCCTCAGAAATACACGCTGTATCATTCCGATAGTTCATACAACATGTCAAACCATATCATTACTTAGTATAATTATTAGTTTCTGGACCAGGTATGGCCTAATAGCCAATATGTCGGACTGTGTGTCCGAAAGTCCTAGGTTGGAACATGCAATATTCCACTGATCATGCTCAGTACCTTTATCTGTGTCAATCAATACCACTATTTGGCTATAACTAGCCGTTTAAGCGGCGACGGCGGCTGTTAGCTGATTGTCCTCTCCCTCTGGTCAGCAGTTCAAAATTAGGAACTGCTATTTTTGAACCTTGGATCCCCTAATTTGGTCGTTAAGCCAAATTTAATTATCAATAGAACATAGCTAAACTTTGTGTCGATTCCAGCTTGTGTGGGACATAATGATTATTATATTAGGCTGAAAGAAGGGAATATACGTATTTCTGTTTATGTATTTTGGAGACCTTCTTATTAAATAGGTTATTGAAACTCTAACATACTTAATTGTCTGTCAGTGAGTTTCTGTATGGAGACACAGCTTATAAAGTCTTTTTTATAACCAACTGTACAATTGCACACACACACACACTAGTTCACTAACCACAAAGTGAACTGTTGTGTATTAAAAGTAAATAGAACCTGGGTTTGTACCCTCGGGGGTCTTCGTGC